AATTTCCATATAAACGCGGTTCGCAGCGCGATAGTTTAAACACCGTCCCGAATGCAAATGCGTTTTCCTCGCTTTCTAACAGCCGGTAGATGCTTTTTTCTCCCGCCTCAACGCGTCCGTGATTTTCGCTGACGGACTCTCTGGAGAGAGCAAGAGTTAGACGCTAGGGTGAGAGACGTGTCTCTGTGCGAATATTTCTGGTGATATTCGAAAGTTGGGTTGGGAACAGTGTTGGGGATAGATGAGAGATCGATGACGAGACTTAGAAGCAATAATAACGATTTCGGTGGAGTATGGAGGTTAGATAAGTGTCACATAGTCTGAGTTAGACGTCTGAGTCTTCTGGTCACCTAGGTTTATATTGGATAATAATGTTTGGCAGATGTGTCGACTATCCAGGTATGTAACTATTAACCATGAGACCTCATGACAATTTCGCTGAAGAATTGGGGAGATCAGGAGATAGATGCTAGGGTGAGAGACATGTCTCTGTGCGAATATTTCTGGTGATATTCGGAAGTTGGGTTGGGAACAGTGTTGAGGATAGATGAGAGATCTATGACGAGACTTAGGAGGAATAATAACGATTTCCACAGAGTATGAAGATCAGATAAGTGTCGCATAGTCTGAACTAGGCATCTCAGTCTTCTGGTCACCTAGGTTTATATTGGATACGTAATAGCGGATGCTTGGAGTAGATTGGGATGTGTTTGACAGATCTGTCGACTATCCAGGTATGTAATATAAACCATGAGACCAGGTGTGAATTTCGCTGAGGAATTGGAGAGAGCAAGAGTTAGACGCTAGGGTGAGAGACGTGTCTCTGTGCGAATATTTCTGGTGATATTCGAAAGTTGGGTTGGGAACAGTGTTGGGGATAGATGAGAGATCTATGACGAGACTTAGAAGCAATAATAACGATTTCGGTGGAGTATGGAGGTTAGATAAGTGTCACATAGTCTGAGTTAGACGTCTCAGTCTTCTGGTCACCTAGGTTTATATTGGATAATAATGTTTGGCAGATGTGTCGACTATCCAGGTATGTAACTATTAACCATGAGACCTCATGACAATTTCGCTGAAGAATTGGGGAGATCAGGAGATAGATGCTAGGGTGAGAGACATGTCTCTGTGCGAATATTTCTGGTGATATTCGGAAGTTGGGTTGGGAACAGTGTTGAGGATAGATGAGAGATCTATGACGAGACTTAGGAGGAATAATAACGATTTCCACAGAGTATGAAGATCAGATAAGTGTCGCATAGTCTGAACTAGGCATCTCAGTCTTCTGGTCACCTAGGTTTATATTGGATACGTAATAGCGGATGCTTGGAGTAGATTGGGATGTGTTTGACAGATCTGTCGACTATCCAGGTATGTAATATAAACCATGAGACCAGGTGTGAATTTCGCTGAGGAATTGGAGAGAGCAAGAGTTAGACGCTAGGGTGAGAGACGTGTCTCTGTGCGAATATTTCTGGTGATATTCGAAAGTTGGGTTGGGAACAGTGTTGGGGATAGATGAGAGATCTATGACGAGACTTAGAAGCAATAATAACGATTTCGGTGGAGTATGGAGGTTAGATAAGTGTCACATAGTCTGAGTTAGACGTCTCAGTCTTCTGGTCACCTAGGTTTATATTGGATAATAATGTTTGGCAGATGTGTCGACTATCCAGGTATGTAACTATTAACCATGAGACCTCATGACAATTTCGCTGAAGAATTGGGGAGATCAGGAGATAGATGCTAGGGTGAGAGACATGTCTCTGTGCGAATATTTCTGGTGATATTCGGAAGTTGGGTTGGGAACAGTGTTGAGGATAGATGAGAGATCTATGACGAGACTTAGGAGGAATAATAACGATTTCCACAGAGTATGAAGATCAGATAAGTGTCGCATAGTCTGAACTAGGCATCTCAGTCTTCTGGTCACCTAGGTTTATATTGGATACGTAATAGCGGATGCTTGGAGTAGATTGGGATGTGTTTGACAGATCTGTCGACTATCCAGGTATGTAATATAAACCATGAGACCAGGTGTGAATTTCGCTGAGGAATTGGAGAGAGCAAGAGTTAGACGCTAGGGTGAGAGACGTGTCTCTGTGCGAATATTTCTGGTGATATTCGAAAGTTGGGTTGGGAACAGTGTTGGGGATAGATGAGAGATCTATGACGAGACTTAGAAGCAATAATAACGATTTCGGTGGAGTATGGAGGTTAGATAAGTGTCACATAGTCTGAGTTAGACGTCTCAGTCTTCTGGTCACCTAGGTTTATATTGGATAATAATGTTTGGCAGATGTGTCGACTATCCAGGTATGTAACTATTAACCATGAGACCTCATGACAATTTCGCTGAAGAATTGGGGAGATCAGGAGATAGATGCTAGGGTGAGAGACATGTCTCTGTGCGAATAAATTTTATATAGTTACAGAAAAATATACAATATATACATACAATGCACATTGTATATTTTTCTGTAGCAATATAAAATATTGAAAATTATAATAAACTAGAAATATTCTTTAAAAAAGGAATAAAAGAAAAAGGGAGAGGAAAGCAATTCTTTCCAAATATTTGTAAAAAAAAAAATAGGTATGAAGTAATTCAATTTTTGTACACAATTTACCCCATATAGTAAAACCATTTTTCCCCACTTTGTATTATTTTCTTGCAATATTCTACATAGAAAATAAAATTACCTGAGCGAAACCTACACGTTACATTCAATTTACCGTATATAGTAAACCCATTTTCCTTCGTCTACCACTATCTTCGAATATTCTAGCTGCAGAGCAAATAGAAAATATATCATTCACGGTCAATTTACCCTTTACAGTAGAATTCTACCTGGTTTTATTTTTGTCACATTCTGTGAAATGAAACATCGAAGAAATTATTTTCTACACGGAATTTACCTATCATAATAAAAAGGAATCGCATCTGTTCGAAAATTTATTTTTCACGTTTATTAGATCTAATATATTAACAATTATTATTGGATGAGATGGATCAGGATTAATTTCTTATTGTTTAGTTATTTTTTATCAAAAAAATAAATCTTTTAATTAAATTCACTTCTAATAATAAAATTGTTCCATATCATTTTTTGGTAAAATCTTTTATATCTAATTGATTTTTAACAACAATATCACGTTCCTCCGTCTAGTATTACACGCAATGAGCATATGGAAAAAGCATGATTTATAACAGAATTATTTTTTCCAGCCGATATTATTTTACAGAATTATATTTTTAAAAATGCAAACTGATATTCAATCCTTTCTGATAAAATTACTATTTCCAACCTGATATTATTTTAGAACCTTTTGCACGAAAAAAGGAAGTTGAAATTCTACTCTTTATGACGCCATAACTATTTTCAATCTGATACTATATTACAACCTTTTATGCAAAATGCAAATAGAAATTCCTCCTCTTTGCGTGGAAATTTTTCCACGAGAATCGAGTAGAAATTCCATCCCTCCTCGGGTTAATACAAGTTTCAACTCTGCATTAAGGAAAAATAAAAGAGAAATGAATTCACTCTTAAAACAAAATTATTCTCCTTTCTACGAAAACAAATCAAAAATATTTTGTACGAACATCAAGCCAAAAATGTACAACCTGAGGCAAAATTATTTTTATCAACCCAACACTGTGATCCAAAGAAAAAATAAATAAAATACTCACCCCTAATAACAAAATTATTCTACTTTTCTCAATACTATATCAAAAATATATATACAATTTGAGACAAAATTATTTTTCTCAACCCAACAATGTGCTTCAAAGAAAAGACAAATAAAATATCCACCCCTAATAATAAAATTATTCTATTTTTCCCAATATTATGTCAGAAATATATTTCTAAAAATATCAAGATAAATATATATACAATGTGAGACAAAATTATTTTTCTCAAACCAACATTGGGCTTCAAGAAACTGAATAAAATACCCACCCCTAACAACAAAATTATTCTACTTTCCCCAATATTATATCAAAAATATATTTCTACAAACATCAAAATAAATATATATACAATTTGAGACAAAATTATTTTTCTGAAATCAATATTGGGCTTCAAAAAACCGAATAAAATACCCACCCCTAACAACAAAATTATTCTACTTTCTCTAATGCTATATCAAAAATATATTTCTACAAACATGAAACTAAATATATATACAATTTGAGACGAAATTATTTTTCTCAACCCAACGCTGTGCTTCAAAGAAAAGACAAATAAAATATCCACCCCTAATAATAAAATTATTCTATTTTTCCCAATATTATGTCAGAAATATATTTCTACAAATATCAAGATAAATATATATACAATTAGATACAAAATTATTTTTCTCAACCCAAAATTGTGTTTCAAAAAACCAAATAAAATACCCACCCCTTGCACCAAAATCATTTTCCCATTTCCAACACTGTACTAAAGATATATTCTACAAAAATTGGTAACAGGAACCCCACCCTTTGACCAAAATTATTGTTCCCAATTTATCAAAAGACCATCTAAAAGATCCAGTCTTCGAAAAAATATATTCTCTCCCACCTAATATCGTTAATTATTCAATATTTCGCACAGGATGTACGCGAATGACAAATCCACCCCTTCGCGTTCACCTTTTGGACGTCTCCAAAAATCTCTGCTCTCCTCTCGCCACTTTGGAATACCGTTACGAGTGGAAAGCAGCGAATGGAAGACGATGGAAGAGAAAAAGGCCGTGATTGCACGACGTGCAACGGATCGAGGGGGGTCCAGGGACGATCTATCTCGACACGGGGTGAAACGCGCTTTAATCCGGCGCGCAGTGCGTCGCAAGATGGACGGTCCACAGTTATTGACGACTAAACGGTGAAATAAACGATTCTTACGGCCGCGTAAAATATTCCCGATTAACGGGCGAGTCCAGCAGCCGAGGTTTCGAAAGCGGCGTTCCAATTTCTGGGGGAAATTACTAGGGGAAAAAGCGACTTACCGGGAATCAACGGGACGATTCGTTTTCTTCTATCCTTCCGCCGGGGAGAAAAAACTGAAACAGAAAGAGAAAAAAGGGATGAGGTGAGACAGCTGAGATCGATTTCGTGGCTTATTTTCGGCCGGATAAAATTGGCTTGTCCCGGTTAATAATTGCTGCAATTGGTGATTTGTTAATTGTTGATTGTGATAAATATACCATACCTTTAATTAATAAATAATAAATAATGAATAGATAATACTATGTCCTTTTATTATTATTAGTAGTAGTAGTAGTAGTAGAAGTAGTATTACTATTATTGTTATTATTATTATTACTATTATTATTATTACGGGCTTTTTGTCACCTTAAATGAATTTAAAAAAAAATATTCGACACAGATTTTTATCAGCTACCAGATATTTCGGAATTTCATTAATTTTTAGGCAAGATATTAAATTAATTTGATATATATCAAATCGACGTTACTTAAACGATATAAGGGACAAAATAATTCGAAATAGGGACAAAAAGCTCCGCAGAAAATCGGGACCAAATAATTCGTGGACAATTGTGATTCGAAATGAGTTAAAAAATTCTAATCACGTTTTAAATTACAAAATTTAAGATCGAGCCATAAGATCGATGGTAATTTAATTGATTGACCAAATTAAATTAGATTCAGGTTATCTGATGTACACAAAATTGACTACCTGTATACTGAAGCAATATATTTGTTGTTAAAAACAAAAATCGTCAGGAAAATTAATAACAAATAAAATAATAACAAATCAATACTCGAAATTTATTTAGAAACTGCATATTTGAGAACGAAATCAACTACCACCCAGAAAACCAAAGTGACAATATTCTATTAAATATTAATCCAGTTATATCTATTCAATTTATAAAACAAAAAATAAAATGCTACTAAAAATTCAAAGGAAAATTAATAATTTTCGAATTACTGCCAATAAATATAAAATTAAAGATAAAATAATACTAAAAATTCAAATCAAAATTAATAATTTTCGAATTACTGGCAATAAATATAAAATTAAAAATAAAATACTACTAAAAGTTCATACCAAAATTAATAATTTTCGAATTACTGCCAAAAACAACACATTACAAGATACTACTTTGACTATCAATAAAATAGCTTGAAAAATTTCAATCACGTTAATTAAAAAAATTAGTTCTTTAAAAGGGGATAGATAATATGGAAATAATTAATAATAAACGATTTCAAAATTCATTCGGAAGCCAAAATTTGAGCGTGACACGGTCACTTGACACAACAAGCTTGGGAAGAAACGAAGCGCGGAAAATTATTAATTAAAACATAGAGAATTCCGCAGGTCCGATGAAGACGAATGGCATTAATCGCTTTGTGAAACCCGCGAGCGCTCGCGAGTGCGCAAACACGCGTATTATGTATTGACATTCGGGTGAGCTCGCATGCGATCCGACAGACGGAAATTCTGTACGGACTACGAAGTTGGTGTAATTAATTAGCGGAGCAATTACGAGGCGTAATGAAGCCGCGCGAACGAATCGGAAGCAAGCGAGACGCGACCAACAATCGCGATATTCCGCTGTTAACGAAGATCGTTGTTTTCCACGGAGAATACCGCTTTTCCCATCGCGATCTCGTCGCTGACCAATTTTTTCGAAGCTCCAGCCTCGGCTTTGGAAGCATGAATTTTTAACGCGTTGCAATTTTTGTGCATCAGAGGTAATAATACGGAATCGTTATTATTTCTAGATTATTTTTAGTTTATTTATTCACTGCGAGTTTTTGTTATGGAGATGTCAATATGGGATCACTTTTCTTATGGCGATTTTTTATTCATTTATTTCTTTATTTATTTATTTATTTATTGCAATTTTTGTGTGAGAATAAGGAAATGTATTAATACGGAATCATATTTTTATTCTATTTATTTATTGCAATTTTTGATAGAGAAGATGTTAATATGGGACCACTTTTCTTATGGTGATTTTTAATTTATTTATTTATTGCAAGTTTTGTGTAAGAGGTGTGTTAATATGGAACCATATTTTTATTCTATTCATTTATTTTTAATTTTATAATAGAGATGTTAATATGGGACCATTTTCCAAGTCGTGATTTTTAATTTATTTATTTACTGCAATTTTTGTGTGAGAATACGGAAATGTATTGACACGGAATCATATTTTTATTCTATTTATTTATTGTCAGTTTTCAGTGAAGGAGATGTTAATATGAGACCACTTTTCTGTGGTGATTTTTAATTAATTTATTTATTGCAAGTTTTGTGTAAGAGGTATGTTAATATGGAACCATATTTTTATTCTATTTATTTATTGTAATTTTTTAGCAGAAAAGATGTTAATGTGAAACTACATTTTGTTTTAAATCGATTGCTATTTTATTTATTTTTCTTTTTAATTTTATTTATTAAACTAGTGAAATGAGAAAAGTTAAATAGGATTTTAAATTGGTCCTCGTCCATTTTCTTTTTTACATCTAAAAATTCGAAATAAAATTAGAAGAGATTTATACGATGGAATTTATCGTCATTTTCAGAAATCAATAATGATAGTGTAACTAATTATGTTTCTTTTAATTTATATTTACACAACAATGTTCCTTTTTATTTTATTTTGTTGTATAAACTGTTAATATTTAAATTTTTATAAAAAATAAACTCCAAAGTCGAAACTACATCTCCAAATTACACTACAATTTCATTTTAGCATCAATCGGTATTTAAACATAATTTAAGCATAATTTTACAATTTAACCACATCTTCCTATTATTTTCTGGGAAAATTCCAATGTTTTCCAGGAAAATTACAATGCTTTCCAAGAAAATTTTGATATTTTCCAAGAAAATTCCAATACTTCCGAAGAAAATTCCAATATTTTTCAGGAAAATTCCAATATTTCCTTTCCAAGAAAATTCCAATATTTTTCAGGAAACTTCCAATATTTCCCAAAATTTCAATATTTCCTTTTCAAGAAAATTCCAATATTTTCCTTCCTAATACAAAAGACACTATCGAACCCTCTGTAACCATTTTGCACCAGTCTAAACTTTCGTAATCTGAACAATGCACTCATTAAAACCTTCTTAATCACCAACTCGATACACGCTCTTCGATTCTCCTTTGTTTCCATTAACGTCCCTCTACGCCTCTTTAATTAAAATATATCTTTCCATAACGAGGAGAATGACTTAATCATTGATCGTTCAACGTAGTCAAAGAAACTTGCATAAAAGAGCACTTTGCCCAAATCCATCTTCAACGTTCGCAAAACGGTATTCGCGCAAGTTCATCAACGCCACGGGGAGCTAAGAAACGCGTGAAGTATGAGCGAACCCATCTACGGCTTAATTAGGAGCATTAATATGGATAAACTGTAGAATCCGAACGCGGTGGATTTGCATGCTGACCGGCAGTCGACGAAGACACCTTCGAATTTTCAGCCATTTTCCCTTCCTTTCCGGCAACATCCGGATTTGCTTTAAAATCTCAGATATCATGGTCCAGGAACCTGGGATTTCACGACGCGTAGATTGCACGATGAAAATATCTGAACGCAAAGGCATTGGGATTAGAACCGTCGAAATCCGTCGAAATGAACAAATAAACAACGAATTACTTGCATAGGACACGTTATACTAGTGTACCTGTATTAGAAATAGGATGATCGACTAAAATTGGGAATTTTGAAGACAAATGGATAGCATATGAGACACCTGGATGAGGATGAAACAGTAGCCTCTGACCAACAGAGAGACGTGACGATTTGTCAGGGGTCCCTGTGTATCTTTGCAAATTAACCCAGAACAATAGACCTATTGTCAGATGACATGCTTCCTCTGTCGGAATACAAAGCTTGCAAAAGATTAGAAACAGGAAAGCACGAAGACGTGGCAAATTAGCACATCTAAACACCAGAAAATCCTCATGAATCTTCGATTTTTGCAGAGTCATCGCGATAATGCATACCTCTGTTGCTAAGCTTCTTTGAATCTGTTGGCAGAATAGGGAGCACTGATTTTTGCTTTGATCCTCCTGAATTTGGTTTCCAATAATACTTTTAAGTTTCACTGCTGAAGTACAAAATAGAAAGACAAATTGAACGAACCTACTGCGACAGAAATGAAATTACGAAGCATGGAAGAGACCCAAAATAGGGTGTGACCAACAAACCTGTACCATGCGACTCCCAAAGATACTTCTATATTCCCACGAGTGGAATTAATAAATTATAGAAAAGATTTGGTATAAGTTCAGACTAGGTCAGACGAATATTAAACTGCACAGCGCAGAGGAGCCCTAAAATAGGGTTTAATCAGCACGAAGATACTACGAACCTATGCAAACTGACCTCTATATTTCCATAACTGGAATATAAATGATAGAAAAGATTACGAATAGTTTCAGACCAATTCTGACGAATATAAATCTACAAAGCATAGAGAAGCCCTAAAATAGGGTCTAGCCAGCACAAAGATAATATGAACCTCTACAAACCGACTTCTATATTTCCTAAATATAAATTATAGAAAAGATTGGGAATAAATTCAGACCAATTCTGACGAATATTAAGCTACAAAGCATAGAAAAGCCCCTAAATAGGGCCTAACCCTTTGAATACCACGTTGAAATCACATGTTTCGCCCAGGACGCCAGGGGGAAAAAAGAACGAGTGTACCTGGCACGAAAATTTTACAGAAAGTGTTATAAATTAAGTACGACAAATTGTTGGGACCAAAAATTTCTAAATCTGACCAAAAAGGTAACCACCTACTGTCCAGTTTGCATTAACAAGCCACATGTATGCTTAAAATCATTTAACACAGTGCACCGCTTTGTTTTATTTCCTTGATTGATTTTGTAATAAAAATTTTTAATTGTTCAATGGGGCACTTTCTACTTCAAAGTACTTTCTAATTCGTGGTTATATTCAAAATGCACTAAGTGTCAATTTTCATTCAATTTTTACAATTGTAAATAGTTCAAGCTCTCCGGTCACCAATAACCACCGTGGCCGGTCATATATAACCAACGTAGCA